TGCTGCAGCTCCTGGGATGATGGGATTGGGTGAAATGATCCAGTTATTCCCAGGATATCCAAATGAGAGGTCCCTCCTGGGGAAAAGGTTGGAATTCCAGGGTGATGAGAGGGAAGAGGGATGGAACAGGGATAGGGAGACAGGAAACCTTTGGATAATCACGGCAGCAGCTTTCCAGGTGGGAATAAGCTCCTTTTCCAGGAAACTTTCAGGATTTGGTCACTTGAGTTTAAATTTATCCACAAGGGATTCTCACCTGGGGGTTGTGCCCAGTGGGATCCATGAAAAAGCTGGAAAGGGAGCACAGATCCCGATCCCAGAGATTGTCTGTGCCCTGGATAAACCCCTGGAGGTGCTTTGGGATACCTGGAGGGAATTTTATCCATCCCCTGGATAAACGAAATTCCTCAATCCATCCTTTGGCAATCCATTGCTTTCCATCGCTTTCCCATTCCCAAATGGAATCATATCCATCACCATTAACGTTCCAGCCATTCCCTTTCCTTCCATTTTCACCATTTTTCATTGGAATATCAACCAAAATCCAGCAAAAACCTCTAATCCAACTCTTTTCCTTGGGGCTGCAGAAGATTCTGTGGGTAAGTCCTGGGATGATTCCAAGTGTTTTCCTTGTATCCCAATACCTGTGGAATGTCACCAGGTCCAAATGGAGCCCTTGAAAGAATAAAATGGGAAGTGCTGAAAGGAAAAATGGGATTTTTCTCTTAAAAAAAAAAAAAAAAAAGAAGGTGGCAGAAGCCTCAGAGTGAATTTCCAGAATATTCCAATTAAATCCAATGTCTATCCATTAAATCCCACGCTGTTGGCTTCAAATATAAATCCAATAAAAATCCATTTGGGATACCCTGTGAGGTATCACTGAGCTGGGATTCTGCAGCCTCCTAAAAGGAGACACCAGGATTTTCCAGGAATTTTTCATGGTTTGCCAACAAAGTGATTTTAGAAATGGAATTCCTATAAAATCCATGGAATATTGAGCCAGCGTGGCCGTTTATCCTCTTGGAATAGCATCCTTGGAGCTGGAATGGTTTGCACCAGGAATGAGGCAATGGGAGATGGTGAGAGCCGAGGTTTAGTGGGATTTTCCCAGATTTTTTCATCCGAGGGTTTTGTCCTTCCAGAGTTCTGAGCATTGTTGGGTTTTAATGGAAAGATGGGAATTTCATGGATTTATTCATTTATCCGCAGGTTTTCTTGGGATGGGGAGGTTGGGAAGTGCTGGGATGCAACCAGGGAGTCAATCCCTGTCTCCCAAATCCCAAAAAATTTCCAGGGAAAGCCTAAAATTGAGGCATTTCAAGCTGTTAACACTGGAGTTAAATTGGTTCATTCCCTGCATGGAAATCCTGGGAAAACCACCCTCAGAGTGGCCAAAAATTCCCTAAAAATGCTCCAAATCCTTGGAATATTCTTCTTGGGACTCTACCTCATCTTCCCATGAGGAATAATCCTTTTGGGAATATCCACAGTGGCTCTAACACC